ACTATTATAGAATCATATTATCCTCAAGTATCAAGATTTTAACGATCGTCCTAATTTTTTGTCACCTCTCTGTACATGTGTTAGCGTTAGTTTGTGTAATGTCAAATATAAATTGTAGACATTTATTTATTTATTTCCTTTTTGTTGTGGTTGAACTATTTATCTAATTTTTTTATTTTATTTCTGGACGTCAATTGATTTTTTTACCATTTCTTCATAATGATTGAGAACATGACCAATAAAAAAATGATTATACACTTTAATGTCGGAGGACAAATGGTATGTAAGCAAATTAACGCGATAATAGCACTACTTATTTTTTTCACTAATATAAATCAATTTAGTTCGAGATTCCATATGAGAAATTTTTCGCGTACCCCGAAAGTCTTCTCACATCGCATATGGGTGACATGGTGAAATCAAAGCTTGAGAAAGCCAAAGACTCGAAAGAGAAATTTTATTTTTCTATTGATCGGGATCCTATTCTCTTTTCGCATATCCATCGCTATTATTTGACGGGTGAATGCCATTTTCATGAGAATGCGGATCCTGTGAATGGGCACCAAGTCACATATGATGAATTGGCTTTTGAATTCAAGTATTATCGATTTCCTGTGGACGCTATTCCATCACCAAAACGATTACAAGACTATCAAGAACTCAACACCAAAGAATCCGACGTAAAGAAGCTTCTCACCCAAAGCACAATTGCACAACTTCGCGGCATACACATTAACAACTTTATCCAAACACTTCAAAAAATAATTCTCGAACTGATTCTTGTCAAATGTTCACAATTCACCATGGTTTTTACACATCGTCAGAATCCGCCCACTATAAAATTTTCCAATCAGGAACATTCGTTCATGAATACAAACGTCTGGCAAAAAATCAACACGATGTTGGATCCGTTTGGGTCATCGGGCGCTATAATGTTGGATATTTATACTGAGTTTATTAAGGAGTATATGAGACAAAATATCCCGATGTTGAGCAAGTGGAGTTCGGATAAAGGGTTTAATCCGGATATTGGCCAGTACCATGCGATTGATTTGCGGATAGCTACTAAGGTTAGTGAAGATAATGTGTTTTTTGAGACTTCTATGGCAAATCGGACGAGAGGGGAATAATTATTGGTAGTTTGATGTTTTTTTGTGTACATGTATTATGAGATTACATATAGGATGGCTGTTAGGTGGAGAGGGGAATAGAAATTTTTGATTATTGTGATAGAGGGAGATTTTTAATGTTAGCATTATTTATTAGCACTTGATTTATGTTCTAGGGTATTTTATTGCTTTTTTTTAGAATCACGCTTATAAATTCTAATAATTAGTATGTCAATATTTTTTGAATAACAAAATACATTAATCAGGAAAAAACAATAATGAAATAGTTGAATAATAAAATATATACTGTAAAGAAATTTATGGAATTTTATTTAGACAATAAAAAAATTTTCTTTGCACAAAAAAATAGATATATTTAATAAATAATTCTATACCATACATTTTATATTATAAATTCCATCCGGAAGATGGACTTTGATATTAGAATCTAGCAAGCTAATTATTCTGGACGAATAAAATTTTCTTTATAAATTTGTTTACATTTTAAGCTTTCATATGAATTTTGTTGAACAAAATATATTCATATTTTTATCATTATGAGAAGGTAATTATCTCTTAAACCATCAGGTTTAGCGGAAAAATTTTCTCTCTGGATGATTTAAAAGATATTTAATAAGGATTTAGTACCAATTACTTGTCTTATTTATATTAAAAATTATATTTTATTAATGTTGAATATTTTTTTAAATGGTTATACAAATATAATATTCATGAGAAAATCATTATATTATACTTTAAATTTTTATATATAAAATAAATTTGATAGTTAAACTTTATTAATTAAATTTATAATATTAGATTAGAGAAAAGTTTATTAGTTATTTGCATATTTTAACTTTGCTTTGAGCTTATTATATTTGTGTTAATATTTTTAATATTAAATAAAAAGTCTTCAATTTCCAACAATTAATTAATATATTATATTATAATAAATATAAATATAATTTCTTTTATTATAAATAATCTAATAATAAATTATAATAATATATGGTGCTGGAAATCTATAATTACCAATCACGTGAATTGTTTCAATTTTTCGCATAATTGTGATTGATCAATAATATTGCAATGATTAGATATATTGAATTATACATATCTATAATATTTTCAAAGTTATAAATACTAATTACTCATTATCTAAATTCATTTCTCTTTCAATATTTTCAGGCAAATGACGATGAGACTTATACTTGCTGATGATCCAATCAGCAGTTCTATCTTCCAACTCTTTATTATATGCATCCATATATCTTCAAGATTTGTGAATGAATTTATGAATTGTTGTCACAGGAACATTAACAAGAGTCTCTGGAACTTGCTGTAATAAGTTAGAGTAATTATAATTACATACTTTTCTTGTCTCTTGTTTCACATAATTCCAGTATCTCTGTATAAAATTGCATTTATAATGAAACTTGGAATAACATTCAAAAATATGTCCTGCTTTAGTGATTGTTTCCTTAAGTATCAATAATTATTCACAAAAATCAGGTTGCTATGACATGATTTGTCATGCATAACAGTTCAAAATTTTTGAATTAACATTATTTTTCTTTGAGCACCATTCACATACTAAATAAATTTTTTTTGCTGGTCATAGATTACGCTTTTTAAGTATTTGTTTGATTTCTTTTGATTGTTCTCTCAGTTTTATTACCAGGTAATTATTTGAGAATATCATTAATTAATCATATTTCTCTCCACTGTTACAAGTTTGTTCACTAATCGTTAAATTAGCTTACAAACAAGAACCTGGATTGGGAGAGGATATAAACTGATAAAGAAAATATTAAAAAGAAAAGAGGGGTATCTAAGACCTATGCCAATTTCTATGGAAATTGTGTTTACTTGAAAAGAGATAATAATATGGGAGAGTTGTGGGA